TTCAGGAAACTTTCAGCTGCTGTACAGTTATCATCTCAGACTAATTCACAGCTGTAAACTGAAGCATCAGAGCAATACTCTGATATTAAAGCACCAATTTTTGCTGAAAAAAGCTTTTGTAGGACTACTGGAATATATTGGTTTACTGGTCAAATGACAATACAATTAATATTTAACAGAAATCAAAAATCAATTGCATTGGTTGATTGCTTAAACTGATATAGGTTACAAACAGCTTTGATTACGGCAAAAGAGAATCTGAAGAAATAAAGGTTAAAATAAGCAATGTTAAATGGAGACTTTAAGTTCTTCTGATACTTTGAAAACAATTTGAAATCTCGTGTTTTATAATAATTCTTCTCTGATTTATTGAACCGTCAAAGCTTAAACTTAAATAATACATTAAAGTGCGGCAATAAAAGTAAAGTTTATCAGAACTGCAATGTTTCTTTTCTTTTTCGTAGTAGCAGTTCTTGTACATGCGTTGAAATTTTTGCATGTCATTTCGAGATATGTGTTTAGTGTATGCAGGTTTATGCAATGGTTATGTAAGTATATATCCTATTCCGGTTAAATTTTGTTTTATTTTCTTACACCAGCTGTTTTCGATGAGGCTGAAAAGTAACTAAGACTTCTTTTTTTTTTCTGACAAAATATTATCTTTAAAATAAAACAGAAGATGTTTTAATATTGTTAGGTCTACAGTAAATTTTTTTCTAACAGGCTGTTACTTTTTGTTTGATATCTTTAAATTATGCCAACTCAAGCTGGTGACTCTAGCAATAAAAATTGCGAAATTACTGTGGTAATATACGCTTGAAAAAAAAGATATGTAGCAGAAGAAGTAGAGGTAGTATCGTCAAAGTCGGTACAGAATTTCGATGTAAGGAAAATGTAGAATTTCTAGATTTGGTAGTAATGTATACGTATAGAACCGAATCCAAAATCTGGATTTTCTAAGTGGTTGTTACAGTCACTTATGAAAGTGTAAAAAAAAAGAGTTTAACCAGTTCATTCAAAACAACAATTTTTGGTAGGAACGATAAAGGCACTGGAGGGCAGTTGAGTAATCTAAATCTAAAAAATTTAAGGTCGATTTCGAAGGTTGCAGTAAAGTTTCTGACTGACTAAATTCAAAGGTAATTGTAGAACTTAGTGAATAATGACATTCGCAAAGAATATGGCAAAAATTTGAGTCAAAGTGAGATCAAAAAAAAAAAAAAAAAAA